ATGGGGGTTCAGCCACAGGATGACCACAGGACAGCTTTTGAAGGCCAAGCACCCTCTGACCTCTTAAAGTTTAGCTTCCCAGACAGGAAATACTGACATCTTTCCTTGCCTTGAGTTTCTTCCTTCCTCCCTGGTGTCCTGAATTTCAAGAAAATTAAAACAGAAGAGTAATTTGGGTTGAAATATCAGAAGATGCCAGGATCTCTTGTGCATAGCCTGGTTCTGAAATGAAAAACTAGAACATCACATGGGTTCTTGGCGCTGCTGGCTTACTTTGTTAATGAGAGTAAAGAGCTGCTCCTTCTTAAATTGGGCCGAGCTGGAGAGGATAACCTACCCTCTTACCCCCAGGCCTTCCCAGTGGACCAGGCTCAATCAGGCTGAGTCCCCAGGAGGGCTAGGCACAAGGCAGAAAAGCCCCAAGACAGAAAAAATGAGCAGGGACGGTGATTCCCACTGCACTTGTCAGCCAGTGTGTCCTGGAACTCTGACCCAGTTGAAGTACCTGAATACTCCCGAGGCCAGGTGAAATAGGTGAACTCTCAGGTGAACAGCCTTCCCAAGCAGCCCTTTGCTGTCCTGGTCTCTGTTCCAACTGTCCTGGGTTCTGAGGCATTGTAGGGGATTCAGTTAAGTCAAATGGAAAGCAAGAATTCAGACCCTAGAACAACTCACATAGCTGTCTTTTCCAAAGCACTTTCACCGAGGTTCATTATATCCACAGAGGGGTATTTAAATGTTTATTCCTATTTTACAGAGAAGGAAATAACAAAAAATTAAGTGCCTTGCTCAGGGGTGGGTATGGAGTTGCTCTCCTCTGCAGTACCTTTTCTCTTTGGGCATCAGGTCCTTTGTTTGTGGTCAGCTCTTGGAAGTAAACCAAACTCAAGGATCCTGTCAGCAGCTGCCAGTGGCTACAAATGGAATAAAGTCACCAGACCTGCCTTGATAGCTTCTGTCTAGCCTACTCTTGAGCATCTAATTACATCTGCACGTGTACCCCATTGCTGTCTGAGACTTCCCTAGGCCTCACTCTGCCTGCACCTGCTGTTTAGCATCTGTCTTGGACTTCACTCCAGGTAGTCAGCTGGACCCACACAGCTTCCATGAACCTGCAAGCCTTTGTTCACGCTCAGTAGGCATCCTGATCCCTTCCTCTTCCTTACAGGAAAGTTAGGAAGAACTATAAATTCTCAAAGCCACATACTTCCTCTTGCTCCTTCCTCATCTCCGAGCAAGTAGCCTAGGAGCTGTCTAGAAATGCCCACAGGCGATGCCTACACAGTGCTATCTCTTGCCTAGGTTCTCCTCTCCTCTCCTGGCTCTTCCTAAGGGTAGTTAGCATACCTGCCATCAAGACCCCTGATTCCCATCTATCCAGTTCCTCCAGGCCCTGGGTAGGCAGACAATGGAGAGGGATGACTGGGCCTTAATTTTTTGTTTGGTTGGTTGTTTTTTTGGTTTGGGTTTTGCTTTTTTTTTCTTTTGAGACAGTCTCCTTATAGCCCCAGCTGGCCTGGAACTCACAGAGCTCCGCCTGCCTCTGCCTCCCAAGTGCTGGGACTACAGGCATGCTCCTGGCTTCCTTCAGTTAATTTTGTTAGCACTTCCCCACCCAGGTTCCTATTCTTTCCCTTAATCAGAAGTGTACAGTATCTGCTACTTCTTTCTGCCAGGGAATCTGAAATTCAAAATTAGCTGGGGCTCCTTTATTTTCACTTGCTAAATCTGACAACCCTGACCCAGAGGGCTCGTGCAAGCTGAAGCACACCCTTTCCTTGACTGTTCTGGCCTCTCTGACAGTTTTGACACTTCAGCTCAATTCCTGATCCAGACCAGGTGGTGGTTACTAGTTGCTGACAGCACACATCCCAACTTGGGCCATCTGCTCTCCTCAGACCTGATGTAAGCTGACTTCCTAAATTCATGGTGACATTATCAACTACCACTTTGTTGAGCACTTGTTCCATACCAGGCATTATTAAAATGCTATTCCATTTAATCCTCATAAAAGCCCTTCAAAGTAGGGAAGATTGGGCTTTTTCCTTAGCTTTTATTTTTCTGGGGGGAGAGTGTAAGTTTTTGTTGTTTTAAGACAGTGTTTCATGGTCCGGGAATGTAGAAAAGTTGGTATGATGCTTGCCTAGCATGCATAAAGCCCTGAATTGGATCACCAGCACCACATTAGCCAGGTATAGTGGCCCACAGTTGTGATCTCAGCCACTAGGGAGGTAGAAGCAGAAATTTAAGGTTGTCCTTGGCTTCATAGCAAGCTAGCCTTGAAATACATGAGACTGTCTGGGGCCAGCGTGGTGGTGCACACCTTTAATCCCAGCACTAGGGAGGCAGAGGCAGGGGGATCTCTGAGTTCAAGGCCAGTCTGGTCTACAAGGTGAGTTCCAGGCCAGCTGGGACTTCAGGGAAACTCTGTTTCAAAAAGATGGGAGCAGCTGGGCATGGTGGTGTATGCCTTTAATCCCTGTACTGGGGAGGCAGAGGAAGGCAGATCTCTGTGAGATCGAAGCCAGCATGGTCTGCATAGTGAGTTCTATCCCTGATGGGACTACAAAAAGAAAAAAAGTCTCACACTGGCTGGTCTGGAACTCACATCAGCCCTCTTACCTCAGCCTCCATAGTAATGGAATTGTCTACAACTGAGTCTTTGTTGCTGTTATCTTTTTCCCCTTCTTTTTTGGAGGGTGGGGTGGGGTTTGAGGTAGAGGTGGTGGTACATTAGGAAACTGAGATTGGGTAGGTTTATGTGGCTTGCCCAGAGTTACACAGCCATTAGTAAGTGTCAGGATTCACACTCTACTCCCTCTGGTCTCAGAACCTGTATTTTCTGGCCAGCCCTTAGTAGTACACATAGAGCTAGTAGCCACAGACTTGATGGGCAAGCAGACAGAATGGGCCACATTGCAGGGTGCTGAGGAACAGGAACGGAGGCCTGAACTGAACAAAGAACACAGGTTCCAGGACCTGGTAACAGTCTCACTGTGAATGTAATAACCTTGTAGTGACAGATGCACATTTTCCACATTTCAACAAAAGAGAAATTAGTGCAGAGATTCAATTACTTCTCCCATTTGTAATGGCAATTTTGCTCCCTCAGTAGATTAATTAGCAGCAGAGATCTCCTCCCCCCCAAGCAAATCACCACACACTTTATAGCAAGAAGGTGCATTAAAATGCAGCTGTGTCTCATTAGGCAGCCAGCCTCCTTCCCGGCCAGTGTGCCTGCCTGTGTAGGCTGGCCTCCTGTCCATTGTGCCTGGGAAGACTAGGGAGACCTCATCTACTGACCTTGGCCCCAGAGCAGGAGCAGAGCTCCAGGCTTCCCAGGGGACCCTGGGTGTGGACTGTGGGTGCAGAGGTGTTTGAGCCTCTTGCTTAGAATTCCGTCCGTGCTCTCCTGTCACCAGCAGAAGCAGCCTGGGCCCACACTAAGTGGAAGATAACTAAGGGAGCAGAGCTGGTGGTGAGGAAACAAAGAACTAACCAAGATTGAATAGCTATGCAAACCTCAGCTCGGTCCCCTCCCAGCAGCACTCTGTGATTGTTCTAGCCTGTTGCTTCTGTTTTCAAATGTACCCCTTTAGTGTTATGAGGTATACAATGAACATAGCTGTTTTAGTTTGCTTCTCCACTGCTGGATAAACTGACCAAAAGCAGCTTGCAGAGGATAGATTTATTTCACCTTCAATTTTCAGTTCATTTTAGAAGGGCACCAGGGCAGGAGCTCAGGGCAGGAACCTAGAGCACAGACCACAGAGGTATACTGTTTCCTGGCCTGCTCCTCTGGCCCATGCTCAGCCTATTTTCTTTCTTTCTTGCTGGACTGGAACTCGCCATATAGACCAAGCTAGCCTTGAAATCACGGAGATCTGCCTGCCTCTGCCTCCGGACTGCTGGGATTAAAGGCGTGTGCCACCACACCTGGCATCAGCCTGTTTTCTTTTACAATACAAGACCACCTGCCCAGGGGAGGCACCTACAGTGGTCTGGCCCCTCCCACATCATCAACAATCAAGAAAATGCTCTATAGACATGGCCATAGGCCAGTCTAGTGGAGGCAGTTCCTCAGTTGAGGTTCTCTCCACCCAGTGTGTCAAGTTGACAACAGAAGCTATCCAGCACAATAGCTTTGGACCAGTAAGATGGCTTAGTGGGCAAAGGTGTTTACTGCCAAGCCTGACAACCTGAGTTTAATCTCTGGGTCCTACATGGTAAAAGGAGAGAATCAGTACCTGCAAATTGTCCTCTGATCTTTTACACACAACACAAACACAAAGTAAATGATTTTTTTTAAAAAACAACTTTCTCGGGGGCTAGAAAGATGGCTCAGCAATTAAGAACACTTGGCTGTTCTTGCAGAAGACCCGGGTTCGAATCCCAGCATCCACATGGCAGCTAACAACTGTTCATAACTTCAGTTCCAGGAGATCCAACAGCCTCTTCTGTCCTCCACCACTGGCATTGCACGACACGGGTGCACTTATCTACATGCAGGCAATATACACATACACATAAAAAATAACAATAAATAAAATATTTAAAAAAAAACAAAAAACAGCTTTCTCTTGCCTGCCAACTAAATATACCTTCAAGGCCAGAAATACATATCATCCTGTGCTGTAGAGAAAAATGAAGCTCAGAAGGGTTCAGACTTTGGCCAGCATTGCCTGGCTGATGTGTGACCAAGTTGGGGTTGGAACTAAGATGGCATTATTTCTCCTTCCTCTCAAGCCCTCTGACTACATTATTTTCTTGCCTCTAGTGTACTTTCCTTTTAAGAAGTTGTTGGCTTTAGTGTCACGTCTGAACCTTGTGTAATTGTCCTTGTGTAAACAAAATGGAAGTGGTTTCAATATTAGTGGTGAGTTTAGGGTATTCACTCCATTCACTCTGGACACCAGCCTGGTTTACCCCTGGTTGGGGCAGTGCAGGAGGTGGAGGCCCCCTAATGCTGGTTTTACTGACATGACTTTGTCTTCTTTCAGGTACATTGAACGGAAAGCTTTTCTAGACCGAGTGGACCACAGGCAGTTTGAAATCGAGCGAGATCTCAGGCTGAGCAAAATGAAACCTTGACATTTGGGGGAGAATCAGTAGCATCTTAATCCTGTTGACAATGTGAGCTTTTCTGTGTCTGTGAACTATTTCCAGCGTTTCATTATGTTTCCCAGCAAGGCCTTTTTTCTACGTTAAGTTGGTTTATGTATCTTACTCTCACCTGGGTTCATTCATTTTACTTTTTAAAAGTTATCCTTAAATAAACTAGAAATTGGCCCTCTGTGAGGCTGGTAAAGGTGATGATGTCATTCGTGTTTCCCTTTGCTCTGCTACAAAGCCTAACCCAGGCCCAGTCAGTACATGTCAGACCTATCCTTGCTGGTATGAGTTCTGCAAGGCTGTAAGGCTCTTTGAAATCCGCTTTCCTGGAGCCTCTAAGGAGGTTCACTGGGGTCGGCAGATGTTAGGTTCCTGGGCATTTGTTCTCATGGGATTTGATCTGTGCTGTGTGAGATTCTCATGTGTACAATGGGACATTGGGATAACTTAATAATAGCTTTTCCCCCTACACCCTTTTTTTCTCTTCCTCCCCCCAAAAACTCCTTCAGATGTATTCGGACCTCAGTAGTTCTTTAGTTTGACTTGTCAAAGAATATTCTTGCCAGATAGGCTGCCACAAACTTGGAGTCCCAACACTTGGGAGGCCAAGAGAGCAGAGTCACTGAAAGTTGAAAGCTAACCTGGGCTGCATGGTTCCAGAGTGTTCTAAAGGACTCTTTTGGGGTGCTTCTTAAGAAAATCTCAATTCCAAACTTCCTTTTTGTGGAGCAGCAAAGAGAAGGGTGAATAATAAACATTTGGTGATGAAGGAAATGGCCATAGAGACTCATCTGTGTTGATAAAACCTTGAGTCCCAGCACCTCCCTGCTCCTGGGGCATGGGAACTCCCTGAAGGTGGGCTTCCAAAGACTAGGTTCTGTTTCTCCCCAAACACAGCTCTGACCTTGATCACAGGTTAGTTTCCTACTGTGTGAATGACAAGAGTCCCATTAGTACCTGGGACTGAAGCAAGCTGAGGACAGCCTGGGGACAAAAGGAGCTAGCTGAGGACAGCTGTTGCTGTGATAAAATGCTCTGATGCAACTTGAAGAGGCAATGACTTGAAGGGTCATTTTACCTTACAGCTTCCAGATCACAGTCCTTCATTGAGGGAAGTCAGGACAGTAGCTGAAGCAGAGACCATAGATGAACACTGCTTACTGGCTTGCTTCACCTGGCTTGCTCAGCTACCTTTCTTACATATCCTAGGCTTGGGCACTCAGGGATGGTACTGCCTACAGTGGGCTGGGCCCTCCTACATTAGTTAGCAATAAAGAAAATGCCTTGGGGCTGGAGAGATGGCTCAGCCGCTAAGAGCACTGACTGCTCTTGCAGAGGACCAGAGTTTGATTCCCAGCACCCACATGGTGGCTAACAACCATCCATAACTCCAGTTCAGAGGGAATCTGATGCCTTGTTCTGACCTCCATGGGCATTGCACGACAAGGGTGCACTTACACACATGCAGGCCATACACTCAAACACATAAAATAATAGATGATTGATTGATTGATTGATTGATTGATTGATTGATTGATAGCTAGATAGATAGATAGATAGATAGATAGATAGATAGATAGATAGATAGATAGATAGATAATACTAAAAAAGAAAGAAAATGCCTCAGGATTGGAGAGATGGCTCAGTGGTTAAGAGCACTGAGTGCTCTGGCAGAAGATCTGGGTTTGATTCCCAGCACCTATATGGCAGCTAACAACCATCTGTAACTCCAGGGGATCCAGTGACCTTTTCTGATCTCCACAAGCATTGCATGACATGGATACACCTACCTACATGCAAGCAATACATTCATACACATTAAATAAAAATAATAAATTTTTTTTTAAAAAAAATGCCTCACAGACATGGTCAGGGCCAATCCAATGGAGGAAAGTCCCCAATTAAGGTTCCCTCTTCCCAAGTGTCTCTGGCTGTGTCAAGATGACACAAGCCCTAACTCAAGGCTTCTTCCCCATCCAGGCCTCTCATGTGTGGTCAACATCTGTAGCAACCAAGACTGAATTGGTGACACTGGAGGGCTAGGGATCTTTCTACCCAGAAAGGGAGTTTAGAAACTGCGTTGAACTCATGGTTTGTTCTCATCCACTCTGACAAAGGATTCTACATGTGGCAAGAGAGCACTTCAGGCTGTTATCAGAAGAGGTGGCCTGTGAAGTCTTAGTTGTGGTCCTATACTAGGGCTCTGGAATACCAGAGGAAAGTCCTTTAACTAAGGCCAACCAGTGTTCCCATCAGAGCAGGACCTGCAGTCCTACAGGAGGTGCCAGCCAAAGATCCATGTGGAATGCCCATCTGTGGTGCTGCCCCTGCCCCTGCCCTGCCTGTTCCTGGAGTCTGTGTGCCTCCAGCGCTCCATCTCAGCGGCCAGTGTATCCATAGCACATCAGTCAGTTCTGCTTCCTGTGCACAGATCTAGAATCCTATAAAATAAATGACTCTGACCTCGTGGCCATTTAGGACTTCTTAGCAAAGGCCACACCTTTGAAGCTGAAGAGATTAGGAGGTCCACTGTATCAATTGGAATCATAGCTGTGAGCCTTGGCCCTGCCTGTCTCAGTCAGAACCCAGCCCTCAGATAAGCTTCTCCATCTATGCCCTGAATTCAATGAATGTCACAGCTCTCCAGAAAAGTATGCTCCTTTCTGTCAAGTGTATCGTTTCCCAGCTACACAAATTTGACCCATGTGATGACATTTTACCTGTCCATGAGTCTTTTGAAAAGCTCCTCTAGTTAGTTCCTTCACAGAATCTAGCTAATTTGTCAGGGAGTCTGTGACTGTGTCATTTACTTTTACCTTTCTTCATTAATGAGGCACCACCTTCCCTGTGTGACTGACACAGGTGCATGCACATGTACAAGTGCATGATCCAGTGCCAGTTAGACTTAATGTGGCCTCGAAGCAGACCTGGGTCATCTCTGAGTTATCACACCACCCTGGCTGTAGGGGAGCCTGGAAAAGTGTGCATGTAGCATTTCCAGCCTTTATCTTGGAAGATAGGCTGGGAGGGAGGAAATCAAGATTAGTGATGGGTCAGCCAACCAGTGTCCCTACACACTTGGTCTTTGTCATGAACTGATGACCTTTTCTCTGTTCTTTAAAATTGTCCTGGGAGATTAGGTGGGTGGGAGATGAAAGCAGCAGGCCATGTATTGTCACTGTTGAACCTGGAGGAGGAGTGCGTTCAGTCCATTATGCTGTTCTGTACTTTGATATGAAGTTGGACTTGGGGGGAGGGGGCAGTGAGACAGGGTAGCACTGGCTAGCCTAGAACTCACATTGTAGACTACCCTGACCTGGAACTCAAAGAGATCCAATTGCCTCTGCCCCTCAAGTACTAGGACTAAAGGCATGCGCCAACATGCCAGGCAAAACATTTCTTTTTTTTTTTTCTAAGTTTTCCCAGAGAGGCACAGTTGTGCACTCAATAAGGAAGGATTGTGCTTCAAGCCGGGCCAGAGAAACATAGGCAGCCTCCCAGCCCACAGCCTCCCACTCTGCAGGCCTGTGTGCATGTAGGTAAGTGTACCCATGTGGTACAATGCCCATGGAGGTCAGAAGAAGCTGTCAGATCCTCTGGAACTGGAGTTACAGACAGTTGTTAGCTGCCATGTGGGTGCTGGGATTGGAACCTGGGTCTTCCGCAAGAACAGCCAGTATTAACTGCTGAGCCATTTCTCCAGCCCCCGTCACCTTTTTCATGAATTTTCTTTGAACCGTGGCAGCTCAGTTTGTAAGACTGAATGAATCTAGTTCTTCATATTCACATTTAATGGAAACTCCCTCAAAAAATGATGGCCCTTTATCCAGAAATTGGGAATGGTTAAGGACTCCCAGAAGTTGAGTTCTTGGACCCTGCCCTGGCCATCAGTCCTTTGTCTTCCCAGATAGGTGGATCAGAGTTCCAGAGCATCTGGTACCTTCTAATTAGTGAAAGAAAAAAATCCTAAAACAGTATAAGGTCAAGTAATAAAACAAACCTCTTTCTGTTCTGGGCCCACCTACTTTCTGAGGAACACAATGCTCTAAGAATTCTGCATAAGGTCTCTAGGGGCTGGAGTGTGGGGTTCACTGCTGGAGCTAAGGAAGAGGAAGTGCCAGGGTCTGTGCATGAGAGCCCGGCAGCCCAACAGATTGGCCAAGTGGTGGAGCAGCACACAGAGACCAGAGAGGAGAGGATCCATAGTGCTTCCGCACCAGTCTGGGACCAAGAAGAGCACATGACAGGCTCCCCAGATGCTGTGCTGCTGTGTGTGTAGCTTGGTTGGTGAGGTCTGGCAGGGCACGGCATGGTAGCAGGCCCTAGCACACTCTATAAAGAGTATGGTATTGTGCCTTTGAATACTAGAACTGGGCTTGTTGGCAAGGCATGACTTTTAGAGTGCCCAACAATACAGAAGTGAGCAAACAAGTCTGGAGGTGGTGGGCTCCTGGGAAGAACCAGAAACTCCTTTCGTCATCAGCAAATGATCGGTGCTCCCTCATTACACCATTCTCAGCCCCACCACCAGCTTACACACCATATCTCTTAGAGCTTCTCCACTTTCCAGAGGTGGCACCTTGCTTGAAGTCATCAGGGAACCAGCCAGAGGCCACACACACAGGGCTTCAGGGCTCAGTTGAACAGACATGAACAACTTCTCAGGACCTCCTGGCTTCTGCAGCTCTGGAGGATTCCTACTAGGAAGTGGAGACCTGAGTATTGGGACAGAGGAACCTCTGTATGTAGAGAATGCCTGCAGTGGAGGGGAATGACAGCTGGCACCCCACAGTCGAGGACACATGGACCTCAGCCCTGGAGCCTGCTGAGCCTGGGCAGGTCTGAGGCCTTCCCTGCTGGGAAGCTGTGCTGCTGAGATTCCTCTCAGACACCTTTGGCCTGAGCTCATATGACTGGTAGCCAGGTGTCACTTCCAAGCTCTGCTTCATGACCAACCATCTATGCTAGGCACTATAAGAACAGCCTCCTTTTGGGGTGCTGCCTGCCTCTGGGGAGAAGGAATTGGGTCCAGTGAGGGAGGGAGGATGAGGGTGTGAAACCTAAGAGCATTCTCCAGTCAAACAGTGGAGCAGCCTTCGTCCCTCAGCCTCAGGTTCCTCATATTCAAATGTTCCTAAGAATGAAGCCTACCTCAAAATGGTTTATTAAGTGAAATACACTATCCAAGGACTAAATAA